AGAGGGAGAGAAGCAGGCTTCCCGCAGAGCAGGGAGCCCGATGCGGGGCTCGATCCCAGGACCCTGGGATCATGACCTGAGCCGAAGGCAGACACTTAACAACTGAGCCACCCAGGCGCCCCTCAACATGGTTTTCTAAACTGCTTTAGAATGATTCTTCATTTTAGGAAAAATAAAGCAAAAATTGAAATTTAAAGACTTTAAAAATATATATCATTAAGGAAAAATTCTGTTGAAGAACTTAGTCAAAATTCTTAATCCATGTTTGATCTGTCTTTTGACTTGGTTACTGACATCTGAATCTGACCAAAATCTGCCCTCTCAGGGCTTCTTTCATAGTAACAAATCAATAGATCTTCAACAGCAAGTGCTAAGAAACCAATTATACATGATATACTATGTATTCCAGTTGATTAATCTGTAAACTCTTTCCCATTCTTTTTATACAAGAAGTAAATGCTTTCCATTTATGATAATATTTTTTTAAAGGTGTATATCTTTGTTAAGTAAATATTTAAGCTCTGTGGCAAAAAATTTTATCTAAGGCCTAAGTTTGTATTCTAACCATGCAAGGAGTTAAAACTGTTGTTTTTGTTTAATGACTAAATAGTTTGGAAATCTTAATATAGAACTTAAGATTCAAATCAATACATATTCTCATTGTATGAATATAACAGAGACTAAAAAGAATGTAAAATCATTAAAACATACATAATACAATAAATTTACAGAGTTAATAACTACTCGTGCCAGGAGACCCTTGGAAATTCCTGCCTTGTAGGCCGAGGCTTTGGACATTTGCCATGTTACAAATCTTCCTTCACCTGGGAAGAGATGGGATTGATAAACTGTCACTAATGTTCCTATAGGATACTACTGAAAGGTCCTGATTGATCGCAAGAGATAATTTAAACATGTTACAAGAAAACACAAAGCGTATAGAGTTTTGCAAAATTCTTAAATATCTATCTGGAAGAATTATACATATTTGTCACTTTGTAATTTTTTTAAAGAGAAAGACTTGTATTCTTAATGCCTCAAATAAGAAAAGTTATTGGATATAATCACTGTCAATAATCTAATAATCTAAGTTATAAAAAGGTGGGGTCAAGGCACCTCCTTCCTTTCGATGCAGTTCAGATTGTGTCCATGAAGCAAAAACATGGATAAATTTCTTTTACTGACCACCTCTTCTTAGATTAAGGAGGCTGCAGTGGGAGAGAGGTGTTTTAATCTACCAACTTTTAAAATAAGAGAAGAAACCTCAGAAGCATATGACTGGAAATTACCTTAGAAGACAGTATTTTAATATTTAAAAGAGATTTTTTTGTTGTAAAACCTCTTTGACTCATTTTTGTCTCACGTTTACATCACTGTTTTATAAAATAACCAATTAATTAGGGTCTGGCAAAGAGAAGGTAGTCTCCCCCACTCTTAACAAGAACTACTTTAATATCACTATTTAATTCTGAGATGCCATCTAAATGATCTTACCTTTGCAAAAAGACTTCAATATGCCCCATATTAAATTGCAAAAGGTACGATGGGCTAAAATAGACAACATATATATATATGTATATATCATCACATACACGTACATTTTTAGAAATTTTATATACATAAACACTGTTACAGGTTGAATTGTGCCCCCCTCTAAAAAGAAATATTGGAATCCTAACCTCTAGAAAGAACCTCAGCATATGACGTTATTTGGAGATAGGGCCACCTTATTTATTTTTTTTAAATTGGGATGAACAAGAACCTCCCCACCCTGGAGATAAAGTGAAGTCATTAGTGTGAGCCCTAATCTGGTACAACTGGTGTCCTTATAATAAAGGGAAATGTGGACAGAGACATAGACAGAGAGAATGCCATATGAACATGAAGGCAGAATGGAGTGATAGATCTCCAAGCGAAGAAACATCAAGGATTGCCAGCAAACCACCAGCAAACAGGGGAGAGGCATGAAACAGATCCTCCCTCGGAGCCCTCCGAAAGAACCAATCCTGCCCACACCCTGACCTTGGACTTCTATCCTCCAGAACTCTGAGACAAAAAATTTCTGTTATTTTAAAACTATCCAGTTTGTGGCCTTTTATTATGGCAGCCTTAGCAAACCAACATACGTACCTAAGTCGTTCTGGAGGTAGTATGATGAAGAGTACAGGCTCTAGGGTCAGATGGAACTGTCTGGAAGGCAGCTGTGCTAACCACTATACCACCACCACCTACTCAGAACGGTTTGAATCTACCTATCCCACTAGTTAAGTTGTATGGTACTGACTGGTATCCTAACTTGTCTAAGCCTGTTATTTTCATCTGTAAAATGAGAATGCTCTATTTCATAGTATTGTAAAGATTAGATAATGCATACAAAGCTGTCTGCATATTGTTTAATACATGGTGAACATGAAAGTCGTAACCACTATTGCAGTATTTACATAGAAATATATCCCCAGGTATATTCATACATAAATATATAAATGCACACAAAGAGATACACCTATGGCCTGCAAGACAAGCAAGCACGTAATCCTTATTATCATGGATATTAAAGTCCAAAAGGTATTACATTATAAAATTATATATTGATTTAAAAAATAATTTTGATAAACTTTATGGAAAAAGGAGGACAAGGTTAAGATAATTACAACAGTTGGGTGATGAGAGAAGACCTTCCTCATAAAGTGATATTTAAGGTTAGAGATGGTCTAAGCATATACAAAGGCCCTATAGCAGAAAGGTTCATGACACATTTGAATAAGAAACCAAAAAAAGGTCTGTGTTACTGGAGCATAGTAAACAAGACAAAAGGTGTAGAAGGTGAACCAGGACAATCAAGCAGGGACCAGATTATGCATAAGCTTGTCTCATGTGAAGATTTTTAGACTTTAAAGCAATAAATAGCCACTGAAGGGTTTTCATTAGGGACTACTCTTAGTGTTTTGAAAGAGCTGGATTAAAAGGGACTGAGGTTGGATATATAAATACTCAGGATTACATGAGTAATACAGTTAAAAGAAGATGGCAATTTAGACCACTCCATAGGTAACTGACTAGTTCCCTCCCTTATAAACCAGGATGATCCCAACAGCTTCAAAACCAAGCCCAACGGTTTGGCTTCACACTTTGAGTCTTGTCCCCATGATTATGTCTGTTTCAACCCTCCCCTCCCCCCCCAACACCTTTTCACTCTTTGAGTACTACTGGCTTTAATAGATGATAGGCAGTAATATTAATAAAAATAGCTTTTGTTTATACTTCATTTAAAATGTATTAGTACATTAATAAACATATACTGGAAATTAGATTGAGTTGGATACTCCTTTTAGAATTACATGAAGAAACCAAACATTAATTCCTACCTTAAGACCATTGGAAGCTGATCAATACTGATGCCCTGTACAAATACCAGATAGGCCAGAGAAGCCATAGAGTCTGCTAACTGTTTGTCTTCTTCTTCCTCAAATTCAAGATAGTCCCAAGTCCTCTTTTTCCTTCCATGATTAAAAATCATTTTGGGAAAAGGATGTCCAATTGCTGATAAAAAGCCCTGTGAAACATAAAAAAGTAAGCTATAGCAGGCAGGCTCTATTATGTTCTTCCCATCCTCCCCAGCCATATTCACATCCTGTATAATCCCCTCCCCTGAGTGTCAGTGGGACCTGTTGGACTTGCTTCTAACCAACAAAGTATGGCAAGATGTCACCCCATGATGAGATTATGTCATGACAAAAGTGAAAGGATTTTTGCAGATGTATTTAAGGTACCAAATCAGTTGACTGGGGTCATTCAGAATGGTGACTATCTTTGGTGGGCCTGACTTAAGCAGGTAGAAGACTTTTAAAAAGGGGCCAAGCCCTTCTTCAGAGTCAGAAACTCACCTCTGTAGGCATTAAAGAACTAAGCTGCCATGTAATGAGAGGGCCTACAAGAGAGGGCTGTAGGGCAAGGAACTACAGACAGCCTCTAGGAGCTGAAAATGGTCCCTGACCAAATAGCCAACAAGAAAATGGGGACCTCAATCTATAGCTTCAAGGAGATAAATTCGCCAACAACCTGAGGGAACCGGGTGGAAAGATGAAAAAATTTTAGAGATGGATGGTGGTGACAGCTGCATGACAATGTGAATGTATTTAATGCCACTGAACTGTACCCTTAAAAATGGTTAAAATAGTAAATTTTATGTTATATATATTTTATCACAACTTTTTTTTAAAAAGTGCTTCAGAGGTATTTGAAAACAATCTAAAAATGTGAGACATACAAATATCATGAAATGATAGTAAACTAACTACTCAGATAAAGAATACTCTAGGAGCAGTGCTCCACTGACCACTGTCTTCCTAGATACAGAGTGGGCAGGAGGAATACTGGTCAGTGGCACCAGAGGCTTTGGAAAACAGTGCTGCTATCTCAGGTCGTAAGGGTTCTTGTGTCATAAGAGAAAAAGCATGAGTGGACAGGACTACGGTTTTATCTTTTTTTTTAAGGAGGGAAGAAGAGAGAAAAAGAGACACTCAGGAAACATAAGGCCACTCCTATGCCTCTTATGTTTTTTCTAACTATAGTATACTAGAAAGCATCTGGTCTTCAGAGTCCAATGGAATTGATTTGAATTTTGGCTTTACCACTTATTAGCTGTGAGATACTGGACAAGTTACCTAACTTCTCTAAAGCCTCAATCTCCCTATCTAGAGAATGATATAATGTCTATGTCAAATATTTATTGAGAAGGTTCACAAAAAGAGTATAAGAAAAGGTTACAACAAACTACTATATACAAAGGGAATGACAAAAGCAGCTAAATCAGAATACTGACCTTCCACATATTCACTCATTTATTTTAATAAATACTTGAATGTCAGGCACTGTGCCTGACATTGTGGGGAATTATAAAGTCAAATAAAACTTTTCCAGCCTTCAGGGAAGTAAAATCTGCTGATCCCAGATGGCTCCATTAGTCATTTCAGAACACAAAAAAGAACCATGGGAAATCATCCTCAGTCACAAGAGACTGCTATTCAGCTACCAGATGCTAAATATATACTTGCATACTGATTTTCAAAGCCACGCATTCCTGTTATAGCTATAAGACAACAAGTTTACTGTACTTGGATTCTAAATGTCCTCTTAATCATGAAGCTCCATTTCTTCATTCGGCCAATACTAGATATATTTTTTTTTTCCCCAGAGTAAGATTAGCCTTTTAAAAAATCATTACATATAACCAGATTCTTCAGTGCTGCTTTAGGATACATGGAGTCCACCTGTGTCCAAATTAGGGCCTTCACTATCTACCCACACACCCTCCAGCAGTCTTGCTCATACCCAGGATGTACCTGCCACTCCATAATTTCTCATGGCAGCCTTGGCCCTTTTAGGCATGTTTCTGTGGTGAAACCCTTGGGACATTCAAGCAGTTCTATATCAAAATAACTTCTGCCAAAGGAGGGATAGTTAAGGCTATCAATCTCAAGCATGCCACACTTACCTGAACTTCTCCAGCATAGAACAGAAGGCATCTCCTCACTTCATCTCCTACCCTGATTTCACCTCTATTTTTTTTTTTTTAATTTTTAAAATTTTAATACAGTTCAAATCAGTGTGCCAGGTTCATTTCAGCTCCTTCACTGCCAAAACTGAGGGCAGGGGCTGCTTTAGTTTCTCTGCCTTCTTTGTGTGTGATGACCAAGGTGTATACTAGGTCTCTGCTGCATCGAACTTTTAACTTCACCATTATCCTTTATTTTTCTTGATGGATTTGGCATCCTTCCGCCTGGCCATGAGCAGAAAGTCCTTGATTTTTTCAATTTTGCAAAGAATGGCTATGAGGGGTACAGGGGTGCATGTGGTTGGCACAGCAAGTGGCAAAAAAAGAGCTCACCTCTACTTGACTGCTTTGTGCTTCCTCATTCTGTCTCTACTTACAATGATCCTTCCGCTGAGGTCTTACGACCTCTTCCCTACACCCTCAACCTCTTCATAAGATACTTGCTCTATCTCACTGCTGTAATTAAACCTGACTTGATTTCTGGTGCAAGCTGCTCATCCTCTCACATCTCTTCCACAGCACAGTCAGGGAGGCAGCAGTGGGGAAGGGTGGTATGGGTAGAGCCTGGGTATTATCTTGGTTCTTCCTGCACTCTCAAGCAAAAGCACATTTTCCTTTGAGGCAGATGCCATACTGCCCTTTATCTGTCCTATCTCTGGCATATGCTGACTGCCAGGTCATTGCCTCACATTCACTGAAGACTCTGGTACCTGTTCACAATCATTTTCTCTATCCAACTCCTGCTACCATATGGGAAAAAATTCAATGTTCATGTAGATAACTCCTCTAATAGGCCAGCCTCAGGGCTCTTGATTTCTGAATTCCAATGACCTTAATTTCTAATTCATTTCAGCACATAATCGCAGCATTTGCAGCTATTCTACATTAGATACCTAAACCCCAACATCTCATTTTGTGACTTTAACTTCTTTTCTACCTCTGACTTCTCTAGTTCTGGGATCCCTTCATCTAACCTACCTGTCTGTCCCCTCCTAACTCCCCTTCTTTCCCTGTCCAACCAACACATTATTGGTTAGTTGAACTACCTACACCCTATATTTTCTTCAGCTCCATCTACCCGATAAAATGCCAGCTTGGGAAAATAACTACAATCCACCTTCTCTACTTCTATACCCAGGCAGTTGAGTACTGCTGGCGAAAAATCATACACAAATACAAACTGTTACCACTATAGTTGTGGTCTCCAACCACAGTTGAATGCTCAGACTACTGACTAATGCTTTTATGGTCTTCTATCATCTATTTCCTTTCCCTTCAGTATTCCAAACCCTTACCAATTCCTTGAAGCCCCATTTCTAATTCTTAGATTCTTTTTTTTTTAAGATTTTATTTATTTATTTGAGAGAGAGACAGAGAGAGTAGGAGAGAGAACACGAGCAGGGTGAGGGGCAGAGGGAGAAGTAGACTCCCCGCTGAACAGGGAGCCCAATGCGGGACTCGATCCTGGGACTCCAGGATCATGACCTGAGCTGAAGGCAGACGCTTAACCGACTGAGCCACCCGGGCGCCCTAATTCTTAGATTCTTAAGAGATCTCCTTCACCTAGAAATCTGAAGCCAGTGAGTTTGATTCCCTTCAATTTTAATATTCCATTCCTGCTACAAATTTCCCTGCATGCATACCCATTCTTACCTCCTCTAGGTGTCCTTGATCCTGTGCTCAGCTGTGTGCTCTCGAGCCACATTATTTCAGTTATCCCATAGAACACTTCTCTTTTCCTCTCTAATGGTTCCCACCCCTTCAGTCTATAAATATACATGCTCAAGACTCCCTATCTCCCCCATTACCTTCCTACCTCAGGGCCATGTCTTCCCACTACTCTTCTTTCTTATCCTGTTGTGAAGAACACCTTATACTAGTTGGCATCTTTTTCTCATTGTTCATGCACTCCTTTAACCACTCCACTGTTTTTTGTCTCCAACACTCCACTTAAACTGTTCTTGCTAAGATTATCAATGCCTGGGGCGCCTGGGTCGCTCAGTCGTTAAGCGTCTGCCTTCGGCTCAGGTCATGATCCCAGGGTCCTGGGATCAAGCCCCGCAT